TTTGAATCCCCACAAGTGGATCACGGAGACTAGTGTGTGTGTGTGTATGTGTGTGTGAGTGTGTGTGCGGCTCCTCAGACAGCAACACTGTTTTTCCCGCTGCTCTTGTCAAAGGTAAACATTCCAGTCTTGGGACGTTCAATGCCAAGCGCCGTTTGATCTCCTGGTCATGTGACACCTGCTTTTCACCGCCCTCCTAAACACAAACGCTGCGTACGGGGGCTCGGTGGGCTTGTGGAGGTGGAGCCCGCTGTGTGGATGTGTTTTTGAAAAAGTAGGTCTGTCCTTGACCCGAGGTAACCGCTTTGTTTGACCACCCCGCCGCTCTGATCTGACAGCGAAAGAAAAACCTGTTAGCCAACACATGTGGCTCCTCCATGAGAATACTTCACATGTTTTAATGCCTCATGTCTCTCCCTCTTTGCATCAACCAGCTAATTATACCCAGTCCCATGCTGTGCTTTTGCACCAATGTCAGGCTGTGCCATACCACAAAGCAGGCTTTTACACAAGAGCAGATGACTTTAAAAGTTATTTTCAACCACTTTGGGCTTAAAAAATGTCTTCTCTTAAAAGAAATTAACTTGAAGAGATGATTATTTGGTCTCAGTGGCCCTGGGGGCAGCACTCTCCCACAGGCTGCCAGTTTTGCCCTTAAATCAAAGTTTAATTGAGGTTACATGAATCCATCAGGCAACATGAGACTTTAGTTGTAAAATGTGAACTTTTAACATTGGAATGACACAGTTTTATCACAGCTCAACAAAGAGAGAAGTCATTTCAGTCTTTACTTCAGAAAAACTGTAAAAAGGAAGGGTGTTTTATATCTTTTGCCTGAGTTTAATGTAAGATAGATGAATAAATACCACAGGAATGGATCGTTTTAAAGCAATCAGGCAGAAAACACTTTACTCTTTGTAAACTGTGTTCACATATAAAATGGATTTTCTTGGTTTTTCCGTTTCATACTTTGGCATCAAACACTCCTGTTTTATCAGAGCTTGTGGCGTCTCTCAGGGACACTTACAGCGTCCTTAGACGCCTTTTCTGGATGTATGTTGACATCAGATGTTTTAATTTCATACTGGGCTGTTTACTCATGGATAAGGTCATTGTGTAGCGTCGAAGGAGAAATGATGAAGGATCACAGGGCTTATCATTCGACCTTAGACTGAGACCAATGTAGGATTTCTTTTTCTCCTGTTGCTCTCTTTTCACATAGTGTTTACTTATATTTTCACCTATGATTGGTTCGGGTATCATATTTAATTCTTGGTCTGGCAGGATAGGGCCTTTGGTTTAATAAACTGCTAAATGGCGGTTGTCTTCTCAGCGGGATGGTCAGACGGTTGGATAGGAGGCGAGCTGGTGGTGGGGCCAGAGCCGATTCGGAGAGGCTGACATCTTATCCTACATTGTTTTGGGTGTATTTACTCTGTGTTATTGTTTACACTTACTTTTATTTTTACCTGTAAAGTTCTTTGTCTGACCTTGTTTGTGTTTCAGCGTTCTAAATAAATAAACTTCACCTTCATCTTGACCTAAATAGATTTGCTCAAGCCGTGATAATCGGCACAATTCTGGAGCCAAGTGAAACAAAAATCTGAAGTACAGCAAGAAGATTCCAGTACATCCCCATATTCATGAGAGCAAATTATGTATTTGGTTAAATTGACATAAATTTGCATAATCAATTCAATAAAATAAACCTAAATTTTCCCAATTATGGCCATGTTTATTCGAAAAGTAAAGTAATTCCTTGCTTTTATTTTCATCATTTTACTCAAGTAACTGATATAAATATTGTTGCATGACTCCCAAAGTACGATGTCATTGAACGTGATAGTTTCAGCCACATTTTGACCGCAAAGCTTTTTAACTTCAGCATCAGTCTGTGTGACTTTATCCTCAGTTCGGAGTGAGATTGAGTTGATCAGACGTTTGAAAAGTCGGCCAAACTTGTTGCATCAGATCAGAATCAGATCAGTTCAGTCCTTTCTAAGAAGATGAACTAAACAAAGCTGCTGCTCTCGTCGCAATACATTAAAGGACTTCCTGTCCAGTGAGAGTGTTCACAAACAAACGGCATCTGTACATCCTGCAGGACAAACTGTAGGAGCTGCGCAGCAGCACTCATCACGTGTTGAAATGGAGACTTAGAGCTTTACGGCCCACCGAACAACAGTCATTACAAACTCACAAAGGTTCGTTTGATTCTTTTTTAATTCAGATTTTGGCAGACAGAATATAAGAAAACTGTGGACCAGGGTGATGGACAGCATAACTATACTTCAGACAAGATTAAATCGAGTATTTTTGTGACTTCACTTGTAAAGTGGGGAATGAGAGAGGGGGATTTCAAAGACAGATGGAAGCTGCAGAAACATGCTGACAGATGAAAATAGCCTCGATTAAGCTGAATGTATCACATCTGTGTGCATTTCCCCACTATCGGGGAAGTTTTGTGGTCTTACTCAGGTCCTTTTACGATGACTCGTACAGCTCTGTACTATGTGTGTACCAAAGACCCTTTCCTGTGTTTTAACCCATCATGACTTTAAAAAACATATTTCTTCAAACCGGTTCTACCCTCTTTTTTTTTTAAGAACTCTATATTGAGACAGAGCTGTTTTGACTAAATATAGATTACATAAAGTGTTTTGATCTGGTTTCTGTTTGACAAGCACTCCTGCAGCTGTGCGTTGTTGACTCATATAAGACCGGCACACTTGAGTGTTTGTGACTCAATAACTTATTAACCTGAGTCAGATTATGAACCTAGAGTGGGTTCAGAAAGAGGTTGGAAAAACACGAACATTGTTTTGATCTGCGGCAACAACACTTTTAAAGACTTTGGTCTGCTAAAACATGATAGTTTTATTACATTTTTACAAAAAATGAGACATCAGATTCTTTTCAGTAATTGGCATCCAGTATGCAGACTTTTCCTCTTTACAGACTTTGTCACACATCACTATTTAAAATTGTGAGAAGATCATTTTTCCCAGTCCTTTAGTTAATGCATGAAAAAAGTAAAGAACGCAGTTGGACAGGCAGAAAATGGGACTTTTGAAAGCAGCATCAAGCTGATTCCCAAAGAGCTTTTAGCTGAAAACTTGCAATGTCTCACCATGGTGTGCAGTCTTTACTTAAAACCTTTGAGGAAACTTAACAAATGGAGGACAAAAGAAGAAGTTTGTGGCCTAAAAAATATATTCTCATGAACTTAACAGCAGATGAAGCAGATCTGAAAGTGATGTCCTTAACAAAAGAGAATAAATCTAGCAAAGACCTGGTACATGAGCTGAGAGACCTTCAGCTGGTCATCTCCCGTTGGACCAAGCCTCATCAGAAATGCTCTCCATGAAGGGAGGCTGTCAATAAACCATTCTTAAGGAAGGGACACAGGAAAAAAAGGCTGAGCTCTGCCCAGTGACACAAGAAGTGGACTGAAAATCAGTGGCAACAGGTCTGATGAATCCTCCCCTAGACCTCCGAATCTGATGGAGAATTAAACAAAAGTCAGAGTTCAAGCTGTGCTGGAGGATAAAGGGAGCTCAGAGAAGAGATTTACTTTAAGAGCCTTTGTAAAAACTTTATTTTTCTGATCATGTTTTTGATCATCATGATCTTTACTCTTTGTCTAATTAATTTGGAGTAAATATGTATCATATAAAACAATGCTCTGTAGTTGATAAGAATCCAATATTTCTAAGACAATATACATATCTAGTTTAGCTGTGGAATGAATGTGATAAAAGACCTGTTTTATTTTGATTTTTTCAATGGTGAAACGTGTTTAACGAGCTTAAATGGATCTAAGCACCTGCAAAACCTGCATTACAGGTGTGACCGGCCTCAGCAGATGAGGATGTCAGTTAAAAAGAAAAAAAAACCCACATCATATTAGCTTCCTACTTAGTTTAGCCCGAGGTGTCCTGGACTGGAAATCTGCCCATCACTGACAGAGACTCTTAACGCCATTCGTCAGATGATGCAATCTTACACAGCAGTTGCATGTGGACGACGACACCATGTGGCTCATTGCGTCAGGGAGAGTCATTAAAAGGTACTTAATTGAAAAGTGGAATTGCATCAGAAAGGTCTGAGGGCTTTTGCAAATGTAAGGATGTCCACGTTCCGGGCAGGAAATCCAGTGGAAGAAAAAACCCCGAGGCAGGACGCCGTAAAAAACGTGCGTGTCGTCCATCCTGGGCCCTCTAAAGGCCCCGGAGAGGAGCGATGAGAGGGACGTGTCTGCGGTCATGTCAGACTAGCCCGATTCAGAGCGCTGGGCTATTATTATCTCAGGAAAAGGGTAATTACAACGGGACATCTCCTGGAAGCAGCCCAAAGCCGACTCCGGTGCGCGCGCATACCACTGCGTCCCTGGCGTAAACGCCGACCCTGTTTCGCGCTGCTATTTTTGAAACTTGGGTTTGATTGTCCCCGTGCCCGTGCTCGGATGCTTTCTCGCGTCGCACCACAGCCGCTGGTGAGCTCTCCGCGTGCCCGTGTCCTCTCCGGGCAGCGTGGGCGTGCGTAATTTGCGCTCATTATAATCCCCCCACCCCCATTAAAAGTTGTGTAATAAGTTTTTTGGGAGGACAATTAATGGAAAGCTCTCATGAATAGACAACGTTGTTCTAAATAGAGGCTCGTTTGTTTTAGAGCTGGAAACAAGGGGCTGCTTCACCTCTCCAATCAGCTCCTGCGTGACATCGCGTCAACTTATACTCACTTTCAAGTTCTGAAAACCAACCCGGAGAATTCCCCTCAAACCTTTGCGTCTTGCCTCTGTAATGTGGCAGTTTGGGGGTAAAGTAGTTTAGTATAGCACCCGCGTGAGAAAGGGGAGGGGGTGTGGGGGGGTGTGGGGGGGCTGGACGGGTCCTTGATTGCAACATCAAACACTGGTGTCGTCACTGGCCAGCTATATGTGCCAAGCACCGCCTGCTCCAAAATAAATATTGACGCGATTGTTGTATTCAAATGAGCGGCATGACCGGACACGCACGGGCCAATCAGAGCCCCTCGTATCATTACACCTTCTTTTCAGAAATCATTCATAACGCCGATGCGTCAAACACTCAGCACCCGGCTATAAATACGGCTGCGCGCAACGCAGAGTTAGACATTTTCCCAAAATCAAACGAAAGGCACAACTGAACACGCGCCGTGGGGATCCGCCGTAATTCTTCTGATTCTTCTGCTCTGCCTTGCTCTGCATCTCCACTTCCCCACGTCTAGTATCCCGATCACGTTGGCCATGGATGGATTATATCTGAGGCACGTCGTGGTGGCGGCGGTGTGCTCTGTGCTCGTCACGGTCACGCCGGGGTCCCCGGTGGTGGGGCCAGAGCCGATCCGCTGCGCGCCGTGCACCCCGGAGCGGCTGGGCCAGTGTCCCGCCGTGGCCCCCGGATGCGCCGAGGTGCTGCGGGAGCCGGGCTGTGGATGCTGCCTCGCCTGCGCCCTGAAGGCTGGGGAGCTGTGCGGCATCTACACGTCGCCGTGCGGCTCCGGACTGAGGTGCACCCCGAGACCCGACGACCCCCGGCCGCTGCACGCCCTCACCCGCGGGCAGGCCGTGTGCACGGAGAGCCCCGGGCCACAGCCCACCCCGGAGCCCCAGACACAAGGTAGGCCTGTCTTATCACCTCCACGCTCCACATCTGCGCTCCCCCACATCCAGCACAATCCCCCCCCCAACCCCATCCCACCCCACCCCACCCCACCGCCCCTCAAAGGGAATCGGCAAAGCTCCGGACTTCACGTCTGACACGTTCATCCGATTTCCTCCACCAGATCAGGGAGAGCCCGAGGCGGAGATGGACAACGCAGCCATCAACTCGGACCCCGGCATCCGCTACCCCCCCGGTGTCAGCAAGCCCTACGACCCTCGTGTGGCCGCCGACGCTCAGGAGAGCATGAAAGCCAAAGTCATCGCCATGCGCAGGAAACTGGTCGAGCAGGTGAGAGTCTGACGCGGTCCCGGAAGGATTGGGTGGATTTTGTGAAACCGCTCGTTGCCTTCTGTTGCTAAAAGTTTTTCGGGAGGTTTTGGGGAGAGGATTTGTGCGCCACGAGGGGGAGCTCGTGTGCTGTTTGAGGAGAAGGAAGGAGGGAGAGGGTGGGTGGGTGGGTTGCCTGTTACTACAAGTTTTATTTGCAGTTTGGTGACAGTCCATGTGCTTGGTGTGAATAAAACTGCGCATAGGATCATTTATGGCTGTTTGCACCTCTTGCTTACCCCCCCCCCCGTGTCTCTGTGCAGGGCCCCTGTCACCTGGAGCTGCAGGTAGCTTTGGACAAGATCGCCAAATCCCAACAGAAACAAGGAGACAAGTTAACCAGATTCTACCTCCCCAACTGCGACAAGCACGGACTTTACAAACCCAAGCAGGTTGGTACCTTCAGTCAGATTGGCCGTGAGTGCGATGGGGATGGATTCGTGACTCGTGTCAGCACGAAAGAATCTCCCCAAGGCAGCCAGAGCTCTGACACGACTGTGTGTTGCAGGCCGGGAGCTTTCCAACACAGAGAGTGATTTCATTCAGTGCAGCAGGACCGTACATGTGGGAAAGTGAGAGCAGGCCCAATAAAGAGTCTCTGTTTGTATGTGTGTCCCCGCAGTGTGAATCCTCCCTGGATGGACAGAAGGGTCGATGTTGGTGCGTGATCTCCTGGAACGGAAAGAAGGTTTTAGGCTCCACCAACCTGCCTGCAGACGCTGAGTGCCCTTAAAGAGATCCACCACTGAAGCCGATCTCACAAAAACACGAAGAAGACGAAGAAGCAAGCCACTGATTAGTCCTTTTTGATAGCTGTTTATTTATTGATCTTGTCCATGGTGGTGTTGAATTCAGGTACACTGTCATAGCAGGACTGATGGTCCCAACCACCCTGAACTCCACCTTCCTCTCTCCCTCCTCTTCATACACCGTCCCAAAGAGAAAAAAAATCTATTTTTGTTTTTTCTGAAAAGGAGATTTTAATATTGATGCATTTACTTCTACTCTTCAGCCTTATTTATTTCAATTTTATTGCATTTTATTTGTTATTTGTAATTATTCATGAGTATTTATATCATTTTTTGCCTTATTGTTATTATAATATTATTTTTATGTGTGTATAAAGTGTATATATGTATCTTGGCCCTGAGTAACTCCATTGCTGAGTTGAGCTCGCTCTGCCCTTAAGGAGTTGTCTGGAGGTTTGGTTTGGGACGAACCAAGCAAGAACAAAAGCACTGAGTGACCAAACGTCATTTAGAAGTTTTCTAAATGGCCATACGACTCATTTTAAAGTTGTCGCCATCTTATTTTTTTGCTTTTTGTTATCATTATTTTCTGGTGTGATACATCAGCTCTTGTCGGTGAATGCAAAACTCTCAGTTGGGATTTCAAAACACTCTCAGAAAACATTTCCCATGATTCCATGGGGCTGCAGATAACGTGACAGGCGGCGACCTCCTGCGCCGCCTCTCAAACGGGTATTTCTACATAAACCTACCTCCAATATTTACATGTCCGCTGTCAGTTGTGTTGATGTATCTGTCAAAAAAGAAGATGTGTTACTTTCTACGTTGCTGTTCTCTTTGACCAAGAACACATGACCACAAAGGGCGGCGAACCGTGGCGTTCTCAGCTCTGTCTACATGCTGCTGTTGGAGAGAGAATTGTTGTTTATGTGAGTTGATTCCAAAGTGACTAACTGCTCACTGTGTGTATGTACACTTTTGTAATTGAGATGTAATGTAAGAAAAAGGTGATATATTTAATAAAAACATTACCCTCAGTTATGTGCCTCTGGCCCCTTTTTCACCTCAGTTGTAGCCATTTGAGATTGTCAGTCTGTGTATAGATGCATTCCTGGACCGCATTTGCTATATTCAGTGTGTTTGTGAGTTATGTTATCACAGCGATCTAAAGTGGAGGACCTTGTCTAACTTTAGCCGGTTCGCCGGAACATACAGCCCAGCGCTGCCTTTTGACCCGCTCTCTGTTTGCCTTGGTCGGGCACTGGAATTCTGCTCAACCTCTCATGCCCACTGCCAGCCTGCCTGGCACCACCAGATTTATTTTTGTTCTTTACAAATTGAACCCTTGCTTTATCCTTATTGACACATTCCAAGACTGAGGGGAGCCTGATTGCAGCCGAGGACTCGTGCAGATTCGTGCCCCGAGGTGATCGAACTCATTGGCCGCGGATGTCAAAGAGAGGCTGGAAATGAACGAGAAGAAACCTCAGAATGTGTTCAGTCTTTATTTAAAAAATGACATTAAATAGAAATTATATCATGATTGAAAATCATTTCCTTTCCCGGAGAAAATAATAGCTCTTTGATTTGTAGTGTGTACCATTAAAAAGCCTGAATCAAAAGGTTTGAAGGATAACTTGAAATGAAAAAAGAACATAATACATTTACCCGTGAACAAAGAGAGCTGGGACTTAAACCAGTAGGGGAAAAACAGGGGAGGGGGGGGGGGGGGGTTAAAAGTGACCTTAAAAAGTGTGACCCTGGCTCTGAGGCAGGATGGCTGGGTGTGCCTGGAGAGAAGTGACATACTGAGAGGTGAGGGGTTCACTGGCCTTTAGAGGCAGTAAACCTGGCTGACCTGAGAGCCAGACTAGCACAGATCTCCCCGAGGCTGAAACCCGCCCGCTGGGCACGGAGGTTACCAATGACACCATTGAGCAACAGAAGGAAAACGGTTCTTAAAAGATAAAACATTCATTAGTGATTATATTCCCCAAATACACTGAATCTTAAAGACTTTGCTGTGCAATCGGTGAGTCACTGAATTGTTCATACGAAAACCTAGTTTGGATCAGCTTATAATTCTTTTATAGATAAATAAACTTTTAAGTACTGTACATGATGTCTAGTCAGACACATAGCTGGCCAGGAAATACTAGGACTAATAATAATTATAATAATATTATATAAAAAGACACACATACAAATATAAGGGAGGGAATAGCTTAAACATATTATTATGTATGTTCCTCCCCTTTTACATCAAGTCTTTGAATAGATGGGATATAGCACCAACAGGCTGGTTGGAAGTTGCTGCTGTCTGTTAGAGGATATGTTTAGCCGATTTCATGCTACCAAGCTACTGGGCAGGCTTTTTCTCCCGTCGGCGCTCTGTCCACGTTTCAAGTCTTTACACAGGATGTGGGAGAGCATCGGGCAGGAAGCTCCGTGGGGTGGGGGGGGCACGCCTCCTCCCCAAGACCTCCTGCCACTTGTGTGAATGCGTGTACGGCGCTGTGTCCACCTTGTGGAGATTTGTTGGTATCTGACCATACAGGCTTTTTTTTTTCTTTTTTTTTCGTCAGAGAAACAAAAAAAACATCATCAACAACAAAGAAAAGTTGCATTGAAAGGAACATTTCTGAGGGGGTATTTGCTCAGTTGTCTGTCAGAAGTCCTAGTGTAGCTTTGTTTTTTTCTATCTTTCTTTCTCCCTTCCTCCCTCCCCCCCGCCCCCCGGATTATTATTGTTTTCTCACAATATCTCACTGTTTCATCTCACATTACCTCTGAAGAAAGGTATGCAGATATAGATAGGTCCAATTCTCTTTAACTGCATGCATTGAAGAGTAGCTGCGCAGCTAAAGTGCTTTAAGTGCTTGTGCTTGGAGCATATGGGCAGCCGGCACCTGCGGCAGGGCGACACGGTCACACCGGTCCCTCGTCCCGTTCTAACAAGCCTACACCAGGTACACCACTGACAGGAGGAGGAGCTGGAAGTGAGGAACAGGCACAGTCATGAGGACAAGCTGCAGATGTTGGGGTAAAAAGTGGAGCGGATTGGGACAGACGAGGGGTGAGGAGGGCTAACCGAAATGACAAGTCAACACTTAGGAAACACTTAGGAAAGCAAGGAGACGTTTGATGCCATGCACCTTTGGCAGGAAGTACCTCTTGATTTGTAGTCCATGGAAACCTCTCAAAACTATCACTGCTGCATAATTTGCCATAGAGTTTACATCTATCTCCATAATCTTTCAGCCCTCAAACCCAAGCCAGCCAAGGGCATAGGCAAACTAAACAGCTGCTATTTTCCCAATTTGTTTGAAAAAGTGAGCGATTTTTCCTGTCATCAAATGTACATTACGGTACAAAAAACACTATTTTCTGTAAAAAGAGAGCTGCTGTAGGCCCTCTTCTTCCTATTTTCTGTAGGAAGTATCTCTTCTTCTACTCTCTTCTTGCTTTTCAAATGAATATTTTCTACAAAAATTCTGAACCATATGACAGGTAAATATTTATCTCTTTTGTTTTTATTTTGTTACTCCAATAATTAATTTAAAGATTTTTCGTGTAAGATTCTGAGTCTTCTTTGGTCATCTTCAATCTAACTCAAACATAAAGTACTCCAATCCAGGGTTACATTTATACCCCCCATGAGAGAATAAAACATTAAATGGGCTTTCTGAAGGCGTGTGACTGATCACACTGATCAGTATTATTGGCAGAAACAGAGGACTCCTGAATTGAATCTAGCTTTGGACCCCATGGAGGACTGGACGTAATAACGCGTCATAACACACAAAGTGGACTCTGCTGCTGATTTCTGGGATCTTTTCATGCTGTCACATGTATTTGAGATACAAATCAAAGCTCCCCTTAACATGGCAGCAGACCGCTACCTGCCTGTGCATATGCGACATTTTTCCTGTAACAGAGGGAAGGTTAGGGAGGCCACCTTCTCCTGAAAAGGGCAGTGTGCTCTAATCAGACAATGTCCACTGCGTCATATCAGCTCTGCTCAATTTACTCAATTTACAATTTATTTACAATTTCCTCCCATGGCAGATGTGGCGCTTAGAACAGGTACTGCACACTCACAAACATGAACGTTTTTTTAAAGTTTGCACTCCTTTACTGTCCATGCTTCTGAATCATAGTGACTAATGGTATAAACTAATTAAGGACTATCTAATTTTTTCTTACAAGATTCAAGAGATTGTTTCGTTTCTACCCCTGAAAGCAGACACCAATAATCTGCTGCCCTGATGAGAGGTGCAAGGTGCAAACTTATCCAAACTGACGCCCAAAAGGTACATTTTCAACAAAGTGCTCCTTAAATCTGAGAACTACAGAGGCTGGAAGAGTGGGAGAGGCATCATAAAGTTGGGTTTTAAGGCACTGTAACTGCACAGTTTACCTCTGTTCCATCAGCCCGGTGGAGCAGAGAATGATGGTGGCGCTACATAAAAAAACATTGTCCCATCCCATAAGCTTTTCACTCAAAATGGACCCTGAGCCAGAGAGAGTTTGATTTTTTTTTTTTCATGTTTAAGAGAGCAGGGGATGGGCCGTCTGACATCTCTAAAGCGTTTGTGGGAAAGCACAGACTCTCACAGGCAGCTGTGAAAATGAGCGTCATGCAGGCGCTCGTGGATTAAAAGACACGCAGACTCATGGTTACACACTCAGAGACACACAGGACAGAAGTGAGGTTTTTTTAAAACAGGGGGGTTTGGGGGGGGGGGGTCACAGTAACAGCTTCTCTTCAAAGCGAGTGGAAAAATCCCTCCTTCCTCTCCCTCTTAAAGAATAGTGCAGATGATCAGATTCTCTGTTTCCTCCCATTCTGTCTGAGCTTTCGGCCTAATCTTTTTTCTTTGTTTTGATAAGAACGGAAGAGGTTCCTTAAGCACGGGACATATATCTGTAATGGACAGGAGGCTGTGCTCCACCCCTCTCCCCACCCCTCTGACAGAAACGGGACCCGAAATCAAAGGTCCAGAGTTCCTTCAAATGTTGACATGAAACTACATGCAGGAGCAAAGTGAGCTCTCTTTCTTTGTGCTGTCCTCCTTTCTGGCTTTTCTCCCTTCTCCTCCCCTTATCTTGTGTCCCTCTCTCCATCCATGCGTGGTGGGTCCGTCCACTCATTTGCTCTCCAGGTTGTAGCACTGCGTCTCGCCCCGGTCCCTGCCCTCGTAGCCGGGCAGAGCCTGCCCGTATTTGTCCACGCACCAGCAGTGGCCTCTTCTCCTGCCTTTGGATGCACGGCACTGCAAAGCACAGAGACACGAGACACTTTAACACTGTACACAGGGATTACACAACTCAAACAGCTCATGTTTTGAGGCAAATGATGAAAAGTGGAGCCTGATTTTTGGCAGTGTGTATGTCTGTTGTCTCTTAGACTGCGGACGCCTCTCTGAAAGTCACGTCTCAGCAGAACTCCACCGAAACAAGCCTCTCATCGATCTTAGGAAGGAATGCTCTGCTGCCAGGAACCGTGTCTGGGTGTTTACATGCAGAAACTATCAGAGATAAACAACGCGGGCTCTGTGAGGCAGGAATGAATGTGTGGGGATCAGAGCCGGAGAGATCCACATGTGGCCGGCGTGCTGCTGGGGAGGAGTTTGCCTCAGGCTCCGGCTGCTGGGGGCAAACAACCCAAAAAGCGGATTATTTCTGATCGGGAGGGCCGAGGGAATGAGAAACGCTCTGACCGAGTGAGAATGAAGGAGTGTGAAGGTAAACATGGAGTTGCTAAAATATTTGCCAAGGCCAGTTGGAGGGCTGCAGGGAAACCAGTGCAGCTATTCTGGGAAAGTGGCAGACACTCCAAATCATCTGGAGCTGATTATGGCCCGCGCGCCAGCAAAGCGTGCACGCAGACACACACACCGGCGAGCGAGCGGCACGCATGCATACCTCCCACCTGCCTGCCTGCACACATGTATGCAGTAATATCAGAAACCCCACGGGGGGTCGGGCTTTGTGGAGTGGCAACTTTATGAGCTCCATTTGGGGCGCACA